TGTGTGTGTGTGTGTGTGTGTGTGTGTGTGTGTGTGTGTGTCCAGCTGAATGCCATGGCGAACAGAGCAGCAGGGAAGGGCTATGAGAACGAGGACCACTACAGCAACATCAAGCTGCAGTTCATCGGCATCGAGAACATCCACGTGATGAGGAGCAGCCAGCAGAGGATCATCGACGGTCAGAAGCCTTCTTCTGTCACAGAGCTCAGCACACCTGGACACCATCAGGACCTGCATCAGGAGGGTTTCACATGACTCCTCTTCTTCTTCTTCTCCTGCAGTTGGCGACATGCGGTCTTCTTCCATGACGGACTTCCTGTGGGGTCTGGAGAACTCTGGCTGGCTCAAACACATCAAAGCTGTTCTGGACGCCGGAGTCTTCATCGCCAGGGTGGGTCTAAACCAGGGGGTTGTAAAAAATGTGTTGTTCAAAATGCTTTGTGTGAATAAACAGGATTCAGCTGAATTTCTTCTGAAAACRTTATTCTCAGTCTTCTGACTCCAGTCAGGTTCTTACAGCACTGAGCAGGTCTCAGTAAGACCTTGAGCTGAATCAAACAAGACAGGAGCTCTGCTCTGAGCACACACTCTGCAAAACACTCAGACAACTTCTCCTCACTATCCTAATGAATAGAGCTAATAATGTTCTTCTCTTATGTCAGACGTCAGAGCGTCTCTCAGTTTTGTTTAGGCTAAAACACATGAAAACACACACACACCAGCTCTTATTCTGTTTGAACTTACAGGCTGAGATGATCAGAAAGTACAAATACAAAACTAATATTCAATTTATCAGTTACAAGAAGTCTCATGTGGACCTGTACCTAAAGCCAAAACAGAATTCAGCAGTTCAAACTGAAATCTTCAGGTTTACATGTAAAGTCTATGATGGACATGCATCCAGGGGCGTTGGGAGGTGTTGCTGTGCGTTTCCAACCGTTTCATGTACGTATAGTGAGTCCAAACCCAAAGCAGCAGACGCTTGAGGTGGAAGACCTGAAATTTAGCAGCTAGATGTGGAGTGTCAGCCAATCAGACAGACTCTGCTGTGTGTGACATAGTGGTGCATTTTCCAACAGGATAATCTGCTGAATGATGCCCACTAACCTGAGACAGGTGGACAGGAGCTCTCCAGCTGAAATGAGCACCTGTAGTTGATGTCCTGMCAGGAGATATGGGCATCGATGAGGTCAGCAACTCGTCAAACTGGGCTCAGGYCAAAAAAAGTGTTGAGTGTGACACTCATCGTAAGAAGGCTCCTCTCAACGCAGGACTAGAGCGATTCTGACCAGCATCTGACCTGAAAGTGCACAACTGGAGACACTGGACACATTTTTGACACACAAAACATGTTGGGTCTGAACGCAGCATAAAGCAGGTCCATGCACAGGTGTTGCAGTCTTTCCAGTAGTGGTTGTGTGTTGGAGACAGAGGAAAGGATGGAGAGGGACAGAGAAACTGGAGGGTTAACAAATACAAACAAACAAACAACTGCACAGTGAAAATAGAGCATTTAATCCAGGATGGACAGTTGTTTTTCTTTATATTCCCACGGGAACTAAACCAGTGTGTCTCACATGTTCACAAACACAACACATTAAAAGTGCCAATGTTTAGTGTCATCATGAAACAAAGTGTAAATGTACCACATCAACATGCACTGTTCTTATATACTGTACAGTATATACTCATACTAAACTATATACTGTATATACTCATACTAAACTATATACT